TATAAAACAAAGTCGCTGTAAGAAACTTTCACATTTATAATATGTTATTGCGTGGTGTGCTATTGTTATTGCTACAATAAGGGGGGGGGAATAAGATTTGTTTCACTGCTAGCCGCACATAGTCCTTGATGACCCCTTTACGCAAGGTTTGAGATCTTTTTTAAAGTGGTACTCAGCAAAAACTATTTGGGAACCACTGTCTTAATCTACAATCAAAATGTTCTAAATTCTTATCTATAAAGTGTATTGTTTATCAATTGTTTTCACTTTCGTCTTATCATATTGTTTATTGTAATATCTACTGACGATTTGCTTGAGATTTTATCTTCATAATGTGATAGTGAAAGTTTGTGAGTATGGATGGTTGTTTGTTAGTCTTTCACGCAAAAGTTACTGAATGGATTTTGATGAAACTTTACAGTAATATAGCTTCTACAACAGGCTATAATTTAATAAGATTTTATGTAAATTGGGTGATATATAACGATTAATGTCAAGTAAGTGTGATGCAGACGAAGTTGGGCAGGACAGCTAGTATTTTAAGACTTTATTTAATGTGATTTTGTGGGCAAATTTAAAATCATTACAATATGTTATATTTATGTGTAGGACTAGCTGTGCCTTAGACTTCGTTCGCGTGGTTATCAACACAACAAAAATTAAACTAAGTACAAAAGGCGGTCTTATCGCTAATGCAATCTCTTCCAGACAACCTTTTTAAAGAGAGTTTTTACAAAAACTAGAGCAGGTGGCGCAATAGTGCAAGTATAAAGTTGTATACATTTACTGGCTACTCGGCTCGGCTTCGCACGGGTGTACATGTATTATATATATAAACCTTCCACTAGAATCATTGTATCTATTAAAAAAACCGGTTCAAAATCCGTTGCATTGTTTTAAAGATTTAAGCATACATAGGGACAGACAACGACAGCGACTTTGTTCTATACTATGTAATGTTAGTGTAGACTAGCTGTTCCTGTGTATAGCTAGTCATCAATAAAAAAACACGTAGGTATCTCTAATATATTATACACTAGCTGTTCCCGCGACGTCGTCCGCGTGCTATTTAAGTTTATTTTTCTAAAATAAAAGTAGCCTAAATTACTCCTTATTACATCAACTACCTACTCAAAAATAAACCCATTAAAATCGGTCCAGCCATTTCAGAGATTAGCCGGAACAAACAGACAGATAAAAATTGTTAAAAATGTTATTTTGGTGTATGTACCGTATTTATATTCATGTGCATGTAGTAAAAACGGTTATTACAATATTACGAACAGACACTCCAATTTTATTTACATGTATGTATAGATACTGTGACATAGTGCTAAACTGTTTATATAATTAACTTGTCTGTACAATAGAACCTTGATTGTATTCTTCCCGGTCCAATGACTGCATATTGTGTAGCAGAACCGATGCGCATCGACCGAGAGATGCAGTGTTCTAGATGTTACAAATTTGATTATGCAACTAAAAATAAAAATAGGCCATCCATTCGACGAGCTCGGTGTAGTGGTTTAGCGCCGCTTTATGTCCGATGATCGCGGGTTCGATTTCTCCCACGGTACGAACATTTTTATTAGTGAGTATGATTGTTTGTGTCAAACTGACTGTTTTGTGTATATATTAAATTAGTATTAAAATAAGTATGTATTATTAATTTACAATTCAACTAAAATAAAGGGCAAGTGTTACTTGTGCAAAATGAACTGAACTTTATGTTAAATACTGTGTGGGTGTTTAAACATTTGACAAAAGAAAAATAGTAGTCAAGTTCGTAATATCAAATAAATAAATAATGATAATAATCATATTTAAGTCCAATTCACACTGCACCATCTGGTCTCAAGTTAAGTAGAGCTTGTATTATAGGTACTGGACAACTGATATAAAAACTTAGATATGTTTTTATATAACGTATATAATATATATAGTAATGACCCAGACCGAGAAATGACCCAGACCGATACAGTCATACTCATGAATACAAATGTTCGCATCGTGCGAGGATCGAACCCGCGACCATCGAAATTAAAGCGGTGTGTTAACCCGCTAGACTACCGAGGTCGTCATAATTTACTATTAACTACTCGATGCACACTCAGCGAACTAAGATAGATTCTCATTTCTCATACATGATCAAACAGTAATAACAATTATGGTTGGCTCATCCGTCATACTGGAGAACGGGTGCTGCTTGTGGGGACTAGTATTCGGGTTACGAACATTGATTTCACTAGTTGATTTTGCAACAGTATATGCAGGTAGTCGTTCTATTCTCCGAAATTTGAATTTATAAATGAATCTGTATTATTATACAACATTTATTAGAAAATATTACAAGCTGAGTCTCTTGTCAGTTCTTCACATCTCGAAAATATTCCGAACTGACGGTAGATTTGACATATCATAAGAGTCTGTAATAGACCTACCTGAATAAAGATATTTTGAATTTGATTTGGTATTTAAGTACAACTTTAGTGGGCGCCGTATCTTGTTTACCTTGATGGAATTGTTATAACAAACATTTATCGGAAGCGCCGACTGACATACAAGGTTATAAGTTTCGAATAAGAATATATTTTTTTAATTCAGATTCTGGTTTTTGTTATCTATTTACGAGCGTGTTGATATCCGATTATACTAGTCGAGATGCTCGTCTGATGATGGAGTCTACACAATAGCTATAATATAATTACTATATGCACTAATCATTTATTTTTTTAGTAGGAACTGGTATGCTCTAGTCACTACGACTGATTTAATCTTATTGTGTACTAGCTGTTTCCGCGACTTCGTCCGCGTGCAATTTAAGTTTATTTTTCTAAAATAAAAGTTGCCTAAGTTACTCCTTATTACATCAACTACCTGCTAAAAAAATCCGGTTAAAATCGGTCCAGCTCTTTCAGAGATTAGCCGGAACAAACAGACAGATAAAAATTGTAAAAAATGATATTTTGGTGTATGTACAGTATTTATATTCATATGCATATAGTAAAAAACGGTTATTTCAATATTACAAACAGACATTCCAATTTTATTTATATGTATAGATGTAATATTTTGATTGTAATAAATTAGTAATAAGTTTGTGTTCCTACATTTTGACTTAAAAATATAAACTTACAACTATAATTTAAAAGAGCAACACGCAAGTTTCTTGCTCGTTGCTTCTTATGATAAGACAGCATTCCGAATGGCCGGTAGATTAAAAAAAATATAACTATTCAAAAGTGCTTAAATTATGTTTATTTGTATAAAGGATTCTATTTTATTCTATTCTTTAATGTAATATATTTTAATGCTATTTATATTAAACTAAAATCTAATTCCTGACTTTTATAAAATTCTTAGTGATTTTGCTCTTGCATGTCGTACATTTGATATAGAATAATTACCTAATTTTGTTGTTTGATATGGAAAAAAAATGTTTTTTTAATGGTAAAATCTACTAAGAGTATGACCTAGAGTACTATGATGGATTTGAAATGACCCTGATATGAATCGATTGCTTTTGGATTTTTATGTCTGTGTCACTCTAGAAGAGGGTATATACATGAATTTAAAATATTATTCTTAGGTCTTAATTACTTAAAAAAACACTATTTAATTCTCCATAATCTCTCTAATTATATTAGTGTATATTATATATCATCGTTTACATAGTATAAAACTAGCTGTTCCCGCGATTTCGTACGCGTGGAATATAATTTATTTTTCTAAAATAAAAGTAGCCTAAGTTACTCCTTATTACATCAGCTACCTGCCAATAAAAGTCCCGTTAAAATTGGTCCAGCTCTTTCAGACATTAGCCGGAACAAACAGACAGATAAAAATTGTAAAAAATGTTATTTTGGTGTATGTACCGTATTTATATTCATATGCATATAGTAAAAAAAAGGTTATTTCAACATTACATACAGACACTCCAATTTTATTTATATGTATAGATAAAGTCGCTGCCGATGTCTGTGTATGCTTAAATCTTTAAAACTACTAAACTTTTGAAGCGTTTATTTATAATAAATAGAGTGATTCTAGAGCAAGGTTTATATATAATACATGTACACCCGCGCGAAGCCGGGGCGAGTAGCTATAATATCTATGTACATGATAATTTGGTATATGTATAATAGAAATATTGTATTGACAATGGTTCTTTTTTAAATTATAAAAGCCAATTAACACTAAACAAGTTTTGAAGATGTACACTAAGCCTGCTTTATCAGTTGTGTATAATACACACACACAATCTTTTGATTGTGTTCTCTTGTATATACTTAACTAATATTATAAATTCAAAAAGTGTTAGTCTATTCGTTTTTTTTAACGACTAAGCTATAAAACAAATCTTAGTGAAACGTAATAAGAGATTTGACGACCTCGGTAGTCTAGCAGTTTAACACACTGCCTTACTTCCGATGGTCGCGCGTTCGATTCCTCGCACGGCACAAACGTTTGTATTCACGAGTATGATTGTTTGTATCTGGGTCTGGGTGTTTTTTATGTATAATGTGAATGTATTTACGAAAAAATCTATGTCTTTGTATCAGTTATTTAGTACCTTCACACAAGCTTTAGCTAGCTTAACTTGAGTCTAGATGGCGCTGTGTGAATTGTCCAGAGATTATTATTAATCGATTGATGTACATAAGCTATCTTTTACTTTAAAAAAGAAGAGGAAATTCGAGTATCACCTGAACCTAGCTAGTGGATATATAGGTATAGAATGTCCTAGAATTTACATATTTTATTATTATATATATCATAAATAGCGTTCATGTATGATCCAATAACACCTTTTCGCATCAACAGATTAGGTCTATATTCAATTGGCATAATGTACAATTAGTTTTTGCTTGTTACAACGCTCACTGGTTTTTATGTAGCATTAAAATCATTGTAATGTTAATGGTCAGACGTCCATTCATATACAATATCTTTGGTGAAATTGTCTATTTTTTAAATTTGAATTACAATGACTGTTACAGAAGAAGACGAGTCCCAGATCTTCGTGAAATTCTTCAAGTTTCACAAGTGTTACGATTTGATACCGACTTCAGCCAAATTGGTGGTGTTTGACACGCAACTGCTGGTGAAGAAAGCATTCTTTGCTCTGGTGTACAACGGTGAGTGTTATATTTATACGATAATATCATATGTAATAGCTTTACCACTTTAGTTTATGCAAATGCCTGTTCTTGTACTTTTTAACTGTACTTTTATTTAGAGTGTATGCGCTGAGAGATATCTAATTGCATCAGTCCATTGCATTCGCGAAGAATTTTCGCCTTTATTCTTTTTTTTTCATCATGTCTTCTAAAGTTCATGCCTACTATCCAACCCGTAAACTACCTAGATCTTTTTACACCTTTCCCGGAGAAAGGGGATTGTTAGTAATGTGGACTGATGTTCTCATTGCTAGCAATACACCATGTTCTCCACCAGGTTCAACCATGGAAACCATCGTGATAAATTCTTGGTGAATTGGTCACGATGGGTTAACGGAGCTGACCTCATTCTTATTTTATCATTCTCCACTGGTGCCCCGTCAGAGTGAACCGTTAGCGCAGACGGATTCACCATTCCATTACCTATAAAAAAACTTTTCCTACCTGTTATGTTTAGTGAATACAATCACAAATAGCGCAAGTGGATGCAGAACATTATTATGTTTCATTAAACCTTCATTGTTATATCATATCCATTTGAATACATATTCCTAATTGCATGAATATTAAGTACCTTGATAATTATATTGTCTATGTCGCATTCTTACTTATTTGTCTTTGGTAAATGTGTAGCTATAGGCTGGGTAACAACGATATGATGTCAATAGTTTAATTATTGTAGCAATAATTAAATTTATAAATTCATTAATAACAGGTAACGTTGTACATGTGTTTTAAGTTTTAAATAAAAGAGAATTCGGTTAATTAATAATATTGGCCAAATATTTGTATGTTTATTATTATTTTTTAATAAATAAGAAATGGAAAGGCGACTATTTGGCCAATATTATTGCGTCTGCGTTTCGCCAAGTGTGACCGTTATTATATATGTACATTATTATAATATTACGCATAATCAATCTTTGATTAATTTAATAATCTCTTATACCGAGTAACTACTTTATTTTATCTGGTCATATTTAAAGTAACCGCCACCCAAAATCATGCCTAGCGAAATAATGAAGCTTTATGCGAATATGCACAGTAATTTTTAAAAATAACATCGCGTTGTTTAAGATACACTGGCTGCTTCCGCTTAGCGAATACATAGGTCAATTGATATGATAAGTGCGCACAATATAAAGTGATGATTCATTATTGGTTTATGTTAATATAGCAGTGAATGGATCGCACTTCGGAATCTCCATGAAACAATACGGCCGCGTTGTCATGGAGACTAAGGTGTATATCATTCCATATAATTCATCAAAATAAAAAAAAAAACCATAATATCTTTATTCATGTAGGCCTATTACAGACTCTTATGATATGTCAAATCTACCGGCAGTTCAGAATGATTTCGAGATGAACTGACAAGAAACTCAGCTCGTATTCTTTTCAAAATGTTGTACATGTAAAATAATTCATTTAAATTCGAATTTTGGAGAATAGAGTGACCACCAGCACATGCTATTGCAAAAGCAAAAAGTGGTAATCAGTGTTCGTAACCTAAACAGACCAGTCCAAGACAAATAGCACCCGTTCATGAGTATGACGGATGAGCCAACCATCATTGCACTCAACCATATTAGAGGACATCGACCCATATATATTGAACATCCATAAGTAAAACCAATTAATTTGCATAGATTAAATTGTATTGTTCCTAGAATGCAAGTATTTTATAGCACTGCACAAATGGGTCCTTTGATGTTCAACTGAGCGTTGATATGAAACGAATTTTATATGCAGTGCCGTCGGGAATAAACGGAATTCAAAACTAAAGTCTCTTTGTTACAACTTTGTATTGCTGTACCTATTTGTCGCATTGTAAATTCGCTGTATTGAAATACTTTGCTACCGAGATTTTTCTACATCCGGCTCGAAGGACCAGTTTGTTGATGACTCGTAAATAAAATAAGTAGTGGACTGTTAATTATTATATTTAATACTAGGAATTATTATATTACAAGGAACTAATTGTCTAATTAATAAGGTACGCGTGCGGTGACGTCGTAGGCGCAAGGTAAAGTGAAAGTGACCCGGCCTAGCGGCTGTCAATCGTTCATGTTCGATAGCGGTAGAACATCAATCTTATACTTAACTAGCCGTTCCGACGCCTTATTAACTTTATTTTGGTAAAATAAAAGTAGCCTAAGTTACTCCTTATCACATCAGCTATCTTCCAATAAAAGTTCTGTCAAAATCGGTTCAGTAATTTTAGAGATTAGCCGGAACAAACAGACAGAGAGACAAATATTGTAAAAAATGTTTGGTATGTAATAAAAACGATCATATTAATATTACAAACAGACACTTCAATTTTATTTATATGTATACATGTATATATGAATGTTTGTATAATTAGACAAAGACTATAATTTATATATGTATATTGACATTTAAATTTATATCCAATTGTGCAGATAATACAGTTTTACATAAATTTATTGCATAATTATCTTTAATTATATTCTCCAATGCGAATCATCGTTCGTTCGTATTGTTTCTTACGGAGGTGATTTGTGAAATAGATTATTGTGATAATTATAAATAGACTTCAGAATTATAAACACGAGTATAATAAAGTTTTTATAATATTTCATATGAAACAAATAAATAATATATACTTAAGTGACGTGCGTGCATGGCAATAGTTGTTCATGCACGGGATTTTCATTTAATGTTAGACATACGACTCCTATATAAATATACATTGTAAATAATATGGCTTTTAAAAAAAAAATCAATTGAGTTTCTTACCAGTTCTTCCCAATTGGATCTATATACAGAACTGGACGACAGGGATGAAATAATCCTAATATAAAAAAAAATTACGTTCATAAGCGACTAAAATATCCTACATGAATATATGATATTTAAATTTGAATTTGTAATAAATAAACAAAATATACCTTTGGTGGTTATTGTAAATGTAGATTTTTATACTTTTTTAATGGTATTATTGCATTTTATGAATAATTTATTAGTAAATAGATAACTTTCATTCAAAGATTCACCACAGACGTTTAAATAGATTATAATATTTACAATTGGCTACGTCTCGTTGCTACACGCGTGTCAACTAAATTTAAATAGGATATTAAATATTAAAACTAAACTTTTAATAAACACATGTAAAGTATATTATTCAAATATTACTATTTAACGATAATAAAACACTAAAGTTGAGATTAAAAATCGAGTTAAATGATAAATAGATAGATATGCCAGATAAAATATCCATTCATCCAAGTATTGATTATAACTGATAAGAAACTTATCGTATCGTTGAACGATACACATATTAGGGAGCTACGAAACTATCAGATATCCGATATAAAAAATATTTGTAACCGTAACCGAATCCGAAATAAAAGTTCCGGATAATACCGGATAGGTCCAGAGCCTAATTGAGACACCTAATGTAACCATTTTATTCTCTATTGATATTTTACTTTTTAAATTCCTTAAAAAATTACCGTAACCGTAATTATCCGAAACTAACGGATAATCCGAAATAATTTCATATCCGTATCCGGTATAATAATCATTTCTATATCCGAAACCTATCCGGATCTGAAATTTCATATCCATAACGTCCCTGATATTTAATAATCGATCCATTGGTTTGGGATATAGTAGACGTATATCAGAAATACCCGTCTCATTCGTAAAATTGCCGATAATTATTGACATCATATTTATGACCATAAAGGCTGCTAGTTAACGTTAAAGTTAGTTATATATTATAGTTATAATAATTCTTAATTGTAACAGATTAAATCTGTGAGTTTGTTATTTTCTATGAAGCACCTGATAGTTAGTTTCAGTTAAGCCAAGATGTGGCTTGCTGTTATAACTGTGAAATGGTCCGTACAAAATAGCAAAAAGTACAGTTTAATCTGTTTGTAATTACATATTAATATATATAAAAAAATATATATATTATTATATGTATGTATGTATTTTTTAGATTGCACTGAATAAAATATTTTTCCTTCATTCTTTCTTTCTTTATACGTTATATTTTATTACGTATATGTATATCTGTTTAATTTATTTTTATTAACTTAACCTCCATCGAGTGTCTCTGCACTCCCTAAGGTTGGCTGGTAGAGAATGCCAATAGCATTAAGCCCGCCTATTGTACAATGCAATAAATTTTAAATAATAAATAAAAAAATAAGATATAGGCCAAAAGGATATCGCCACAAAGTAAGCGGCAGATATTACTATAAGAAAAACATAGTGTAACCTGGAGTCGGACCGGGTTAAGTGGGAAACCTCTATTATTAAGAGCTGCAATGAGGTACCGGTACATCTTCATTGGACTACTCTGTTAATGGGACTTTGAAACGTAAATGAGATTTGAATTGTAACATTTTTTCGATGTTTACTAAATATACTAAAATAAAGTTAGTAGTTAACTACTAAAATAAAAAATTCTGTTAAGTTTCTAAAATAAAAGAATTTTTCAGTAGTCTAAGTTACTCCTTATTACATCAGCTACCTGCCATTAAAAGTCCCGTCAAAATCGGTCCAGCCATTTCAGAGATTAGCCGGAACAAACAGACAGTCCACTTTTATTTATATGTATAGATTACTAACAGTGTAATATATATATAGATTGAGCAGCGGAAACTCGTCTGTTGTCCACAGGAGTTCGCGCCGCGCCCCTGTGGGACTCGCAGCGCCAGAAGTTCGTGGGCATGCTGACCATCACGGACTTCATAAAGATCCTGCAGATGTACTACACCAGCCCTGATGTAGCCATGGAGGAACTTGAGGAGCACAGGCTCGAGACATGGCGACGTAAGTCTGAACTACTAGTATGTTTCAAGTTTAAGTCAAAGTTAACTGTCACTTAATAGATTCATATTAAAAACTTGCTGACCCAGCAAACGTTAATTAAAATCGCTATTAAAAATAGGGGTTGGTTGTAGAAGGGTGAAAAAAGGGTGAAGGGTAAAAAAAAAAAATGATAGACGACAAAAAAATTTTGGAGTAGCCACATTTAACTGTGAGGTATAAAAATTAGTTATAAACCTATTCTTAGACTTACTGAATTTATATAAGTTTTATCAAAATCGGTCTAGCCGTTTCGGAGGAGAATAAACACACGGCAATTTTATATATTAGATAAAATGCTTTCAACGCGCCAGTAAGCTTTAGTTTAATATTAACTGCGTAATATAGTAATTAAGCTAGGTAACTTCTCTCAGGAGTGTCGGATGCTTTTTAATTTTCTGCTTGACATGGCTCCTCAATGAACAGCGTTTATCGTTTTTTACATTATTTTTCTCCGATCATCATTTTGTCTGTAAGAAACTTAATGAAATCTACAACATTTTTAAATGCAGAATATCTATATAGTTGATCGATGATGGATATTAACAATTAAAATAAATGTATATATGTATATGTACCCTTTTGTAATACGTCTGTCATGTTTTGATTTCAAAAACGAGTGTTCCAAAGTTGTTCGAAAAAATATGGTTTTAGCGTCAAATTTATAATAGATGCGATCAGATATTGTATTATATTAAAGTGAAAGAAAGAAAGAAAGAAAAATATTTTATTCAGTGCAATGAAAAAAATACAATATAAACAACAAACGAAAAAAAAGAGCAAATAAAATGTACATATAATTAAACTTAATTTACCATAATTAAAAATAAACATTTTTTACATCCAATAATGATAATAATTAAAACAAAATTACAACTAATAAATACAAACCAATTACATATACTAGAAATAACAAAATAGAATAAAATAACATTAATAAATATAAACATTAAACATATATTTACAACTACTTTGCCGTAAGATTTATAGGTTAAATAGTACATAGATAATTCTTGTATAGTTTTTTAAAGGTGAATGTGAGTGAAATGAAAGTGATGTCTTCATCACTCATCATCATCATCTGCTTCTTCCTTATCTCATTTATTTGGGGTCGGAGTAATATGTTTTTCTTTTCCATTCTTCCCTGTTCGCAGTCATCTCGTTATTTTTTTCCTTTTTTACCATATCATCTTTCACACAGTCCATCCATCACCTTATCGGCCTTCCTCTACTTTTATAACCATCCATATTCATATGTAACACTCATCAACATTTATTTATATTGAATGTAACCATCCACATCCAATATAAATAAATTTCTACAATAAAAAAATTTGTTATTCTTGTAATATATAAATTATGTTTATTGCCTTGCCTTTACCATATTAATTATATGAGGTCGATGCAGTAAGTCGTCTACTTGCACTGTTCCCAAATAAATATAAATCGCATTTTATACCAAACTGTACAGGACTCCTTACATCCGGGCCGCTGGCTGGCACGACAATTCCTTATTTTTAAATATTTCTACTTTTGTTATGATTCTACTATTGTTCTTGCTTATATAGTTTGTTACGACATATATTTTTATAATTTTCTGTTATTCTTATATATTGCGTCTTTTAATTACCACCATCGTTGGCTGCACCGACCCCAGCGCCCTACACACAGTCCCTCACAAAGGAACGGGGGCTGACAGTCGCAAATGCAGGTTATTGAGAACCTATCTTGGAGGGCAGAGAATACTCTATTTATTTTATTTATTTCTTCATTTAATTCAGATATCTATCCATATTATGTTAGTAAACAAGTTATAAACTACTACCAGTGCCCGCGATTTCACCCTCGTTAAATTTCAATAAAAAATATAGCCTACGTTATTCTGATGCATAAGATATATTACTGTAAGTTTCATCAAAATCTGTTTAGTAGTGTTTGCGTGAAAGGGTAACAGACATCCATACTAACAAATTTTCGCGTTTATAATATTACTAAGATTGAGATGTTGTTAAATACAATACATATCCTAGTTATTTCAATTAATATAGTGTACGTCCAGAAGCTCTGAGTCCGCAGCAGTGCAATGATGTTCAGCGCCTCTGGAGCGACAATACGACATATTTGTCATAGCATTTAGAAGCCTGTTTGCGCTGCCCCGAATTCTAGAAAGTGTTTGGTTTTCAGAACAGAATAAAACCAACCGATCATCATATACTACTTTCTGCTCCAAAAACACAATACAGAACCCTTTTTTGATTGCACGATCACAGAAGATGAGAAATAGGACCTGAATGATAATTCTAAACGCAATTAGCAGTGGCTCTTTCTAAATGAAATCCCTCAGAGTACTGCTGTGAGGTTTACACCCTAAAAAGCGGATGTGTGCCTCTTCAACCCTTAATTACAAAGAACAAATTAAAATAGAATTTTCCATAAGCAAGATCTCACTATAATCTCCAATATATTTGCACCCCTCTAGACAAAACAATGAGCTGATAAATGATAGTCAAATATTGACATGCGCAGAAACGACTTTACTTTCCGGTACCCCTAATATAATAAGAAATCAAAATACGGAAAAGAATTGTAGTTATAACGTCTTAGGATCACAAATTAGTATTCCTCAATAGATCAATGCAATATGAACTTTGTTGTCATCGTATTAGTGTATTTATTTCATTGATATAATTCGCGAATACATATTACTATGGTGTAGTGTATATTAATATGGATCAATGCTTTTTTATGCAACATAAATAGTAAACAGGGAATCGCGTGATGGTAAGCAATTACCGGAACATGTGATAGCTTGCAGTAGTAGAGCATGGCTAATTATTACATGATGCTTTTATCACATATGATTATGACAGAAGCAGAGACATCCCGCTGATATTTTTTTATATATGACTAGCTGTTCCGTGGAATTTAACTTTATGTTTCTAAAACAAAAGTAACCTAAGTTACTCCTTATTACATCGACTATTTTCCAAAAAAAGTTCCGTCAAAATCGGTCCAGCCATTTCAGAGATTAGCCGGAACAAACAGACAGACAGACAAAAATGGTAATGAATGCTATTTTGGTATATGTACCGTATTTATATTCAGATGCATGTAGTAAAAAACGGTTATTTCAATGTTACAAACAAACAATACAATTTTATTTATATGTATAGTTTTACCCGCCTGAGCGATGGATGGTAAGATGGAGATGAGTTCAGGATAGTTAGCCTATCGTGATAAATTCACCAGGAATTTATCACGTGATTTGAAAACCGAGTGGTGGTCAACTGGACATGTTCCCTCCGATAAAATACAAACCCCCCCGTCCAATTCAAACGGGGATCGAAATTACGACGCCCTGAGCCGAGGTTCGAACCTGCTGGTGCCCTCAGATTAAAGTCGTATACGGCAGGCAGGAGTTGGCCTTCGGCTGCTCCATAAGTATTTCCTATGGTTTGGAGTGCCATCTGCACTCGCCCCCTATCGTCCGGTCAAGCTGTAAAGGCCAGCTGCGGTCAACAGCATTAGAGTAATGTTTGTACTTGCCGGTTCCTTTATATATTTTACATTATTATGTATGAAATCAAAGACTGTTGTCTGTTGACATATGTGAATATATTTCAATTCAAAAACATTATAAAAAATAATGTTTTTTAATATTTATCTACAAAAAAGGTTTTAAACAAGTAGTCCGGAAAAAAATTAGCATAATTGGTATGGCGGGTGTAGAATCATATCAACAATGGCTCCACCTTGTTTGTTTTGATTTTATAATACCCAGAATATTGGGAAAGTTTTGTTCAAGAGCACCATTGTTTGTACTAGTCTAGGTGTTTTATATAATAATAACCCTGGACAATTAACACAGCGCCATCTAGTCCCACGGTAAGCACAACTTGTGTTATGGGCACTAGACAACTGATGTTTTTTTTTTTAGTTATATACATAGAAAATACCCAGACCTATACAAACAGATGTAAAGATATGATGTCAGTTGTTAAGTGCCTACAGTACAATCTGCTTAGATTTAGACTAGATGGCACTGTGTGAATCTTGGTTTAATAGTTGTATTATATAAGTAGCTACTTGTTAATAATGCATGCGATGAAAGATACTATAGCTGATGTAGACTGTAGTTGCAGTTAGACGTAGATTGCTACGGTGCGGTGTTAGCTCTAGTGCATTTAGTATGTTGATACCTCAATGTATAACAAACAATAGTTTTGACACTATTGCTCCTAACTTTTGTTTGTATTCTGACAGATGTGCTGAAAGGTTCCGTGATGCCATTGGTGTCCATCGGTCCGGACTCGTCGCTGTTCGACGCCATACGAATCCTAATAACAAACAGGATCCATCGTCTGCCTGTTATTGATCCCGATACCGGGAATGTCCTCTACATACTCACACACAAGAGGATTCTGCGCTTCTTGTTCCTATACGTAAGTAAGAAGCTTTAAAAAAAAACAAGACTGTATTTTCAGATCCCAGATTTATATATATATGTATTCTTTATTATTGTTTATTGCAGTCTTGAACACAGTAGTTAATTATATACAAATAGTGCAAAGGTAGACTTATCTCTAAAAGAGATATCTATTCAACCCAGCAGTGAGGCATAGCTGTTAGTGAGTGGGTAACTAACACGCTGCTTGTGAGAACTGGTCTATTCGGGTTACGAACACTGATTAGACTATTTGCTTTTATAATAGTATATGCTATTATATCTCTCACATATTCTCTCAAATTTAAATCTATTAATATCTGTATTATTGTAAACATGTATAACATTTATTTGAAAAGAATACGAGCTGAGTTTCTTGTTAATTCTTCTCATCTCGAAATCATTTCGAACTGACTGTAGATTTAATATATCATAAGTCTGTAGAAGACCTACTATAAACATTATTGAGTAATTTTGAAAAAAAAATTTAATATTGACTACTGCATATAACAATATAAGATGTTGTTGAAATGTCCAAAATAAACATGTTCTAATTATATCATTATAATAAAATACACTATATACAATGAATAAAGTATATATACATGTACATAAATATTATATAAACAATTTAGGTTCCTTTACAAAAATAACCAGACCGTAGTTATTTTGGGTAACAAGTAAGAATAGCTAATTGAGGCCAACCGACCGAGGCAGACTGTAAAACTGTGGATACCTAAGCCTCACCTATCAGTATTTCAGCCACTTTCTATCTATAATATATTTAAGTTTTAAGGCAAAGAAAAGCAGTGAATTTACAGCATAAGAGGCATGGCATCTTAGACCTTTGAAATATAAACGTCCAACGTCCCAAGGTAATCCCAAGTTAAGCTAGCTAAAGCTTGTGTTATGGGTACTAGATAACTGATACAAATACATAGATTTTTTTTTCGTGAATACATACATATAATACATAGAAAACACCCAGAACGATACAAACATTTGTATTCATGAGTATGATTTACTCATGAATACAAATGTTGGTGCCGTGCGAGGAATCGAACCTGCGACCATCGGACGTAAAGCGGTGTGCTAGACCGCTAGACCAACGAGGTCGCCATTATGCCTCCCTCTCCCTAAAGTTCCCAAACTGTAAAATGTTCTTCATCGCTTTCCAGATAAACGAGCTGCCAAAGCCAGCATACCTGCAGAACAAGCTACGCGACCTCCACATCGGTACCCTGAATGATATAGAAACAGCTACTGAAGAGACTTCCATCATAGATGCATTGAAAAAATTCGTCAACCGACGCGTCTCAGCGCTTCCCCTCATAGATTCTGATGGTCGATTGAAAGATATCTATGCGAAGTTTGATGTCATTGTAAGTTGATCTAATGATGTATTATGCCTCTACAATCAACATAACAATATGCAGATTTTGCCATCAGAAGAGGAAACTACGGGAAGGGAAACATCTTATTGTAGCCCATTCATACATAAAAGAAATATCCCCTTTAGAAAGTTTTGTAGATAATGATGTGCTCTGCAAAGTCATAGCACATCGTTTTGTTCTATCATCAATAGTTGTCGCAGCGCATGCGGTTATATATATTTTTTTTACACATTGGATTACATTATTAGAGTTTTCGTAAGGATTCCTATTTTTTTTTTAAATAGCCTATGACACTCATCCGGCTCGAAGGACCAGTTTGTTGATGGCTCGTAAATAAAATGAGTAGTGGACTGTAATTATTATATTTAATTCTAGCAGTTATTATATTACAAGGAACTAATTGTTTAACTAATAAAGTACGCGTGCGGTGACGTCGTAGGCGCAAGGTAAAGTGAAAGGTGTCCCGGCCTAGCGGCTGTCAATAGCTCATGTTCGATAGCGCTCGAACAGGGATAGTGTAGCTTCCTAATAGTGAAAGAATTTTTGAAATCGCTCCTGTAGTTTCGGAGCCTATTCAATGCAAACAAACAAACTTTTCCTCTTTATAATATTAGTTTAGAGTAGCTGTACTCTGCAGATTTTGCAAGCAGTACAGGAAACTACAGGAAGGCCACATCTTATTGTAACCCATTAATACATAAACGAAATATCTCCTTTGAAAATTATACTCTATCCTGAGGAAATAAAAACCATCGCTCCCAAGAATATCCATCAATTCTTGTCCCTAACAGGTCTAGGTAGCGGACTTTGTAAAAGAATCAGCAATAGATCCAGCAAGTCGCAGTGTCACAGATCTCAGCATCTGACAATAGACCAAAGTCCCCAATAAATAAATGGTGAACATAAAATAAAAGATTACGCATATATAGTTTTCTGAAACCCTCAAAATAAAAGAAAGGTAAAAAAATCACTGCTGTAAACTATTCATCCTTTGGTCTATGAACGTCTATATATATTTGCATAATGTGATCCTCAAGCTGTATGTGATGATAATACCAAATCAATATTTGGTACTATCATCACATCACAACTGCAATCAGTTTCTAGCGTGTAATAAATTAAAGTCAAATAAACACGTTATTCTACTTAGTAACAATTATTAGGTTATTAAATGTTTTTTATTTGTTAATAATGTAAATGAATTATAATAATTTAATATAGTATGATAGTTATATGATAATTCAATAATTAATGCGTTTGGTTTGATTCCAGTAGAAACATTTGTATTCATGACTATGATTGTTTGTATCAGTCTGTGTGTTTTCCATGTATATTATGTATGTATATACAAAAAATATATATCTATATATTAGTATCAGTTGTCTAGTACCCATAATACAAGCTTTAGCTAGCTTAACTTGGGACTAGATGGCGTTGTGTGAATTGTCCTGAGATTATTATTATGTTAGTGGAGACGTGAACTATTGGAAGGATTTCAAGTGCTGACAGAAATGTTACAAAAGTAACTTGGTTTCCAGAATTTAGCAGCTGAGAAAACGTACAACAATTTGGACGTTACGCTAAAGGAAGCGAATGAGCACCGCAATGAATGGTTCGAGGGTGTACAAAAGTGCACCCTCGATGAGACGCTGTTCGATGTCATGGAACGGATTGTGAGAGCCGAGGTAAATTATTCATTCATTTATTCATAACAATTTACATTCTGTTGAGTTATTATATAGCGGTGCGTGGTGCGGCTCCAATGAATAGATGGTACTAGATGATGCCTTCAGCAGATTACGGGTTGTATAAATAATAGAATTTGCTTATGTCTACTCTGTATTGTGTTCATATCTGTAACAAAATTTAATCTGTAACAAAACTTAATCTGTAAATTACTACGCATATCTTTTTCCAATAAAATACATGTAAAAATATACAAAAGGGATTTTGAAGCCTCTGTTACTGAATATATGGATCAGTTAACAAAATTACGTTAGATTGATCTAGTAGATTTTTAAAGTCTGTACGTTACTTTGCGTATTTTAATTGGATGTGTTTATGCACCAATCAGGAAGCTCCGTTCGTGTAGCGTTTTGTTGTTGCTTGTACGCGATACATAGCACTATTTATAATTAATTAGTTAAATGCAAGTTAAATAAGGTAAATTTGAAATAATAATAATTTAAATGTCTATTACACTTATTTTATAAATGTAACACTTCTTTAATTATACTTCTTCTTTACATAGTATAAAACAAAGTCGCTGTCGCTGTCTGTCCGTCCCTGTGTATGATTAAATCTTTAAAACTACGCAACGGATTTTGAAGCAATTTTAGATCGATAGATTTTTTTGTTTATGGTTATTTCATCATATTACAGGTACATCGTTTAGTAGTTGTGGATGCAGAAGACAAAGTGATTGGCATAATATCACTGTCAGATTTACTTATGTATCTAGTGCTGCGTCCGACGGGAGAGTGCGGTGGCGCGAGTTTACGCAACGAGCACGGGCCAATAGAAGAGAAGGATGAAGTGGCGAGCGCTGAAAGCGAGTCAGATACTGATGCCACCAATCCTGATGCTGCACCAGAAACCAGCGATACCAAGAAGGAAGTTACTCCTGCGGATGACAACCCTTCTTCGACGGATGATCCTCCCGCTTCAACGAGCAAAATGTCCGTTAGATTCGTTTCTACGGATGCAGATGTTGTACCCGTCGCGGACACACCGAGTGAGTCTTAAGGATCAAGTGCCCAGAGTGATCATGTGATTCTGCATGAGAGTAGGTATTAGTTAGTATGTAGTTAACGTGGCGTTTATCATAAGAAGTTTAAAGCTAAATAGTGCGTAGAGATTTGCCAATAAATTTGGCCTTTCATGTTTCATATAGGGCCCAGCAATTGTATATTTAATAAAGATTTCAGAATGTAATAAATGAAAATATATAATCGGGATTGTCTATGCTATAATTAATATATGTTTTACGCAGATATTTAATATTATGTGTATTTATATATAACTGTAAGTTTAAAATATTGTTACATAAACTGTGAACTCAGTTAAAACTAAATAACTATATTCTTCCTAACTATAAGACTTCCTATTCTTGTATCATCAAGAAATATGTTACATACATATGTCTAGAATGCATTATTTCTGTTCGTATTTCTTTTAATTAAATATCTAGTACTTACGATAGTTCCTCATGTTTTTTTTAAAATAATAGACGGTAATTTCTAAACGAATACACCACAAAATATTATATATTTAACAGATTTTACAAATATTTAATTCTGAATTTATATTGTTTTATATATATTTGCACATTGCCTAGGCCCGGCTACAATGTACATTCCTGAAACATCCTTGTTCTTTCCCTATATCTACATCATCGTTTACTGCAAGCGAGATGGAGAAGATGTGAAGGGTATATGGGTTCAAATTTATTGGTTTAAATTATATTTTATCATCTCTAGCTCTGTTTTGTTTTAAGATTCTTGGTTTATCGTTTATTAAGAGGCGGTTGTGATGTAATATCAAATATTTATGTTACGAGTAATCGCCATTACTAAGCTGAATAATGTTTTGATATTTTACATCATATGCCGTCCTTTACTTTGTTTATTTGTATAAAGTTTTGGTGCAGATTTTGTTTTGTATACGTTATTTTCAAATTGTCCTTTCTCTGATCGCCCACACTATGTGCCAAAGGACGTACTTACTTCCTACTTTTAAGGTCTAATTATCTTGATTCAAACGTTATTTTTGATACAGTGCGCTAAATGAAATTTAGGTACATATGTTTATAACCTTACTAAGATAGTATAAGATTGTAAAGGTCAACACACGCGCTTGATAAATAAACAGGTTCATCTTCTATATACTTTTGCCTAATAATTAAATTATAGAATAAATGTTCTGAAATGTTACTTTACTTGTCAATAATAAACGCAAAAACAACTGTGAACAATATACTCCGTTTGGGAAGACCTTTATGTAATGTAATCACTCATTCAATATGAGATGATAAACAGGGATGTTATGGATGAAATTTCGGATACGGATCGGTTTCGGATATAGGAATGATTATTATATCGGATACGGATACGGATGCGGATGACATTATTTCGGATAATTTCTGTTACAGATATTTTTAAGGTATTTTAAAAGTAAAATACAAATAGCTTATAAAACGGTTATTAACGCGTCTCAATTAGGCTCCGCCCCTATCCGATATTATCCGATTCTTGTTTCGGATTCAGTTACGGTTACGAATTTTTTTTATATCGGTTATCAGATAGTTACGGTTACGGAGATAACATCCCTGATGAGGAACATGGCCGATTACAAGGCAACTACCTAATTTCATTAGCTTAACTGTATAATTGTAACTTCCTAAGTGAGTACTTGATTTCTATTTGGTACGTTGCATATTAATAAGGAGTCGTGCATAAATTACGTGAGGAGTTTTTTTTAAATGTCTGTAATCAAGATGTGAGATTTTATTCAACCCCCTTTTTTTTTTTTTTACTTGGAGAAAATCCCTCATGGAGACCCGCCGGCCCCGGGGGAAGCCTGCGGGTACTGTGAGACTCCTACTCACTAAAAACTCCAAGGTATCCCGACGAAGCGCCTATAGCCGGAGTCCCGGGATCGAATGTCACTCCACCGCAACTCGGGCGGCGTCAGCCCGCTTTAGTTTGCGGGCCCCTTCGCTATTCAACCCCCTCCTCCCCCAACCCCAATCACTCATGAGATTTTTCAAAATGTGGGTTTCATACGTAACGCGTTGGATTGTTATTGTAAAAAGAGAAAAAATTTGCTTCGTGTTTTTATTTACGACTAGTTAATATTAGTAATCAATATCGCTGAGAGTTATAAGTAATAAGCATGTACAATATGGATTAAATGGACCAAAATATTATATGAAATAGAATTGCGTGATATTTGCCGAGAGCCCTAAACAACTCACGTAATTTATGCACGACCCTAAGCGATGCGTACAATCTGACACGTGTGTGATCAATCATTTTATATTTATATTTTGCTGTGTCGGTAAACAGGATAAGAGATCGGTTTATGTCTCTCACGTTTCATAATGGCGATTGATACATATAAGCTGTTTGTGATATTATGCGGAACAGTTCTGAATTTGGTATGTGATTCTCTAACTATATATTTGTATGCCAAATTAAATTAATGTGTATAACTAAACTTCTGATATATTTAATAGTTTTAGAGATAACTTTAGTGGATGAGGTTTTAGAGTTGGCTCTATTATACTCGTGTTATTACATTCTACATATATATCCGTATGTGTAAATTAGTGAGTAAATGTTTGGAATCGGTCTCATTGTACGTTTAATTGATAATAATATATTCCGGTACATCACGCGTATTGCTGTTATTTATTGTGTTCTTGATACTCAAGTTAATTTGTCTTTAGACAGGTCTAACTCGTTTCTATTGTCTGCATATTAATTTATAATATTTATTATAAACACTATTTATTATTACACCTCAATGAACTTGAGCTAACGGGCAAAATGTTCACAGAAACATATCACAATTAGGTAATCAATTTCTGATGAATACTGAATGAGATATTATGCCGATTCGTTCACAGATGTTTTGATATATAATCAGTTTTAAATAAGGTGACATTGGATGACTTTTAAAATAGTTCTTTAGTTGTAGATCATAAAGTCTTTTCTTGATTGAAATAGATTTAATTGGCTATTTACCAGTTTAAGATGGCATCAAATGATAAGGAACTTTCTTTACTTGTATGTACATTGTAAATTAGCAGAATATTTGTCAAACTTCATGTTACATCAGTATTTGAGTAGAAAGTTTTCTGTAGTTCATAAAACATATGCGTGGGATCATTTGCGATTAGACATAATAATACACAGAATCATACACATGTGTTAATGTGCATATCTGAGCTAGAATAGTACTTGTATGTAAGTACTAGTCATGTATCGACAAATTGAAAATCCTTTTGAATTGCAAATAAAATAGAGGCCTAAAATGAATTACATTTGCAATATATTTAATTGATATTTTTCTACCACAATTCGAAAGTAATAATACTATTTATTTGTCTTTTTTATAATGCTAACATCCAAAAATTGGAAGACTTTCCATCAAATGTTACTAATTTAAATTCAATTAAAAATATCTTCATTCATGTAGGTCTATTACAGGCATGATATGTTAAATCTACCGTCAGTTCGGAATGATTTCAAGATGAATAGAATGATGAACAGAATATCGTGATCGACAAAATATAGGAGTTTAAAAAGTACAGCCAATTTTGTAGATTACTAAAGAATATGTCAATTAAATAGATTGCATGGATTTAGGCATCTAATATCAACAGTCAGAGTAGCCATTTTGATCCACAGATTGCTTTTGTAGAAGCTGACAAGAAATTCAGCTCGTGTTTAACGAAATATTAAGGAGTTTAAAAAATTGCAGCCAATTTTGTACATTACTAAAGAAATAGTCAATTAAATAGATTGCATGCCTACTGAATAAAGGCTTATTACAGCGCAGCCTACTAATGTCACTGGGGCTTTATTGATATGTGCATATATATCTGTAATGCGAAAAAATGACTTACTTACTTACATGGTTTTAGGCATCCAATATGAACACTCAGAGTGGCCATTTTGACCCGCAGATTGATTTTCTATGTATGTCTCCAGAAGTATTATGATATGTGTTATTAATTTATGAGTACGACTAGTGAGTTACGAATGTTTGTCACTTATATAGACGTCTAATGGATTCAATAACTTTTGTAGTAACTATACTGTTTAATTCGGAGTACTGTTCAATTAATGTATGATTATCTCGAGCCATTTGTGTATACAATGACGTTGTAACAACGGTTTACTGTCCGTACATTTCGTGTTCTTAGACGCACAGTAAAGTCATTATATGGCATTAAAGTCTTGAAATAAAACTTGGTTTCAGATGATATTGTGTTTTATTCAATTACTACCTGTACCAGCCACATCGTCTACGAGTTATTTAACAAAAACGTTAGACAATTTTTCTAAAAGTAGCCTAAGACAGTCCTTATTACATCAGCTATCTGCCAATAAAAGTCTCGTCAAAATCGGTCCAGCCATTTCAGAGATTAGCTGGAACAAACAGACAGATAAAAATTGTAACAAATGTTATTTTGGTGTACGTAGTGTACATATAACAAAATAACATTTTTTATATTTATAATGATTTTTTTAGCAGGTAGCTGATGTACTGATGGATTGTAGGAGTAACTTAAATTTATATTCATATGCATGTTAAATAGTTATTTCAAATAGCTAGCATAAAAAATAGCTATTTCAATGTTACAAACAGACACTCCAATTTTATTTATATGTGTATATTATAGATAAAAGGTTGTCAGATAGTGTGTAGAAATAAAACGCACAGTTCATTTATTAAACATTCTATTGTAATTTGGTTAAACTTAGTTCTAAAGTCGTTTACATATCACAAAAAAATATGTTCTGAATCGCAGTAGTTCGGCGAATAAAGTGCAAAAACCTTGGTCCAAAACTTTAACGTTTGCCTAACATACGCGACTCACGCTATACTCGCCGTCTAAGCTTCTGAAGGGACATCACCTCTCATAGAACTTGGCTTTTAACACCTAATTCGTCGTATATACAATTATTTTTATCGTCGTTTCGTCAAATTACAGTGATAACATACCCATGCCAGATTATATTCGTGAAACGGAATAATCGATCGACTTAATATATTGATTTCAAAACGATTTTCAAATCTGCGCTCCACGTTCCAACTTCACGAATATTAAATCTAGAATTTCGATTCCGTGATATCTTTTTTATTACACCTAGTATTTATAAAAATGTATGTGATAAAATAATTATAATCAACTAAACTAATTATATTCCGACCTGTATAAAAAGTGTAATACAACAATTAAAATAATTGTAATAGAACGCAGAAAACGTAAAAACGGAATAAAGAAGTGAAAGCATTCTGAACGCCTTGTAGTTCGATATTTACAAGCGTTAACGACCAACTAACGCCATTAGTCATAAAAACTCTATCTATCCTTTGACATTTTTTTTTTTTGTTTGCACCAATTATTACCCACTCAGTACCACATATCCCACTGTTTTAGGTTGACTGGAAGAGATCTCTTCTAGGGATAAGTCCACCTTTGCTCACATTGTCTCTAAATTATAATATCTTTTTATTATCTGTGCAATAAAGAATATATATAAAAACTGAAACCTCTAACATATACTGTCATA